GAAACGTTGTTTTCGTTTTTCATGAGTTGTGTCTGGTCTCACAGCCAGCTAAAGCTCCGCGTAGGTTGGTCTCTTTGCCAGCTAAATGCTCCGCGTAGGCTTTGGCTTTTAAGCTTTCTGTTTTTCACGTACATGTCTGAAAGAGCAAGGTTTGGTACCTGCATCTTCTGGATTTGTACTTTTCTTGCCAGCATGTGTAACAGCTTCACAGTGCTTGTTGCGTGAATTGTGAACATGTGTGGCATGTTTGTCGCTCAAGCTTGGGGCTTGAAAATTTTTCACCCACCCGCCCACCCGGGTTGTAGTCGCCGGGGGGGTTGTAGTCGCCTGGGGCGATCGGGAGCTTGGTGCTCGTCCCAACCTTCTCACTTCGGTTGGACCGAAGCGAGTTTGTGTTTTCCAGATGCTGGGAGATTGCACCTCATTGGAAAAAGAGATGAGAGTTCGCATGTGCTTCTTGGTGTGTAAGTTGAACCTAGATTCTCATGGGATTGATACTTACTTTTTGACGTTTCGAAGAGTTTGCCAATTTTTACGATAATGGTAATTTAACGAGCACTGCTAGAGAACAGAATCCGCTTGCCCGCATTGCAACCTTGATGGCAGTAACTTCCTTTCAGACAGTTGCTCCAAGGCCAGCAACTGCAAAGTCCTCAGTCAGACTTGAACCCGCAAGCATGACAGGGCCTGCGCCAAAGGAGCTGACACGGTGCAGCACCCAGGCACCAGCTGCTTTCGCTCCTGCTTTTCACTCACGAGGGCAAGTGGTTTCCACTCCCAAACAGGTCAGGCACAGTGGGTCATCCAGCTGGTCACAAATAGTAATGCAGACCATTCAGGATGGGCTACGCAGATGGAAGCCCTTGACTAGCTCACATGCTGACATGTTATTCACTGCCTTGATGTGGCCTAGACTCAATTCCATCACTCGACACACTGAGGTCAGGGCCACGGCCAACTGCCTACCGAGCGGCATCTCGCGGTCGAAGAAGGCGGATCATGTCTGCGAACATACCGAGTTGCAAACTGAAGACCACACGGCAAGACGTGACTGTTCTGTTCATTTAACATGCGCAATGCATTGGCTCTGCACTCACTTCACAGGGATTGCGGACTCCGCGCCCTTTCGTAGACGGAGCACTCTTGGTCAGGGAAGCTTCTCAAGACTCATAATGTCGGAGGCACCATGTACACCATGCGTGACCTGTGGATGGCGCCCCTGCAGATGCACGTCGTTGGAGGGGGCCCTGCACAGCAGGCTACCTGGCGAATCCCACGAAAGGCAGACATCTGGAGGTTCTGGCGACTCCACTGCCAGCATGATGTGCATTTACTGTCTTGAGCAGCCGTGCGTCTGCATGCAAACAGCTGCAGTTCCGATTGTCGTGCCGAAGTCTACTCACACGGAGGGCGAAGATGACACAGCACACTTCCTGGAAGAGCCCATAGAAGTGGTGAATGCACAGGAAAGTGAAAGGGAAGGCGGACTCCGCACCCAAGATCACCAACCAGTGGAACATGATGCTTCTACCAAAAAGGTAAACACTACGTGGCTTCGCTTCCTTGACGTTGCACAGAATGATCAAGAAGCATCTCTCCTACGGGCCCTTCCTGAACCATCACTGGAAGTAAGTGACCTTGCGCGAGCGAGCTTCTTCCTTGAGCAGATACGCCAGCTCCCGGACCCCTTGAAATCAAGGCTTGTGAACAAGATAGAGGAGCAGCATTCGGATCTCCTACGAGAACCTCGGGGTGTAGATCTGGTCGCACGCTTTGAGGCGCAGCGATTGGAGACGGCGACTATCGGGACAACGGCAGGACACGAGATGCCGATGCCGACAACACCAGTGACAGGACCGGAGGGGAATGCGGCCTCCGCCCCTTTCACCACGGAAACAACAGACCTCGACGAGTTCTTAGCAGGTTTTGCTGGAGCTTCTGAGACTGAAGACAATAGTGCAAATCTGCAAGACATAGGCGGGCCATTGGCAGACAGTGGAGAGGCCTCTGGACAAATTGCGTCCACGCCGGATGTACAAAGTGAGGAATCTGATGGAGATGGGCCAAGGTGCTCCAACCGGCCGCCCACTCGAGCATATGAGAGTGCATGCGAGCGTACAGTCCTGATGTGCACGGCAGACAAGAGTGCTAGGGCATGCAACACGGGTGCTTATCGGGCTGCACGATATTCTGCGCAGGACACCCACTCGCAACACGAGAAGTGCGTTGCAACTGGGAAGGTGGACTCCACACCCAGCCGGACACTCAAACGCGAAGAGAGTTACCCAGTTTATGCGATTCATAGCAAACTCAATGCATGCGCCGACCGCCAACAGATCGATGCTGTGAATAAACAAGAACTATTATCTGATTACAATAGAGCATGCGTGAGTGCCTCTATGATCGGATTGTTCACAAAAGATCACAGCTGTGCATGTGATTGTGCTGCAACGATATGGTATGCCATTAAAACATACACAACCCCACAGCCCATCAGAATGCACGCACGACCTCCACCTGCCCAGGCTGACACATCCACGAGACGGCGCAACGATCCCATCGACACTGGGAACGTGGTCTCCACACCCAGCAGGGCACTCAATTGCCTTGCGAAGCTGCTGGTTTGCATCCTTACGTACACACATGCAGAACAAGAGTTCAGCCATCGAATCGGAGCACACTTTGGCTCATGCCCATTCCTCCCCCCCACCATAAGACCAGCCCTGACAGAAGCACAAGCTCCTCGCCTTCCACTTCTTACACCTGACCTCGGCCTCCGTAAATACACTGAAGATTATGTGCAAGAGACTGAACTTGAGATAGGTCAGGACACCCACAGCGTCACCTTGAACTCTAATCACATAACTACACGGTTCCAGGGACCAGCACCGGGGATACTAGTTTTAACTCCTGCCAATGCGCCTGCCTGCAACATGGGACCCAGTCCGAGCTCAAAGAAGAAGTCATCTCGGCGTTTACCCACAAGACTACGCCAGTCGGGCGCTGCGCCCACAGGCAAACTACTTGCCCTCAGACAGGCCGCGGTGGCAAAGGCGCAGAAGAGGCAAAGGAGTACAGCGGACTCCGCACTCCACGAAGCTACGCATCAAGACGAACCTGGAGAAGAGCCATCAAGTAGTAGCCGAGTGCGCTTCCACCCGAAGAGACGTAAGAAGGCCAGCTCGGAAGACATGGTGGAGATGGACTACATCATAGAACTCTCTGAACCAGAAGAGGACACGGAGCAGGACACGGTGCCCATACCAGCGCACAATCGCAACCTGACAGCGGTCTCCGCTCAGGCAGCAAGCAGCCGTCGACACCGAGAAGATCCGCCACAGCCCGCCTCGGGCGAACGCCCAACCGCGAGCAAGCGGGGGGAACCGCCTAGACCACCGCTGGCGCGACGAAGAAAGACGGCCATATCGAAAGCACTCACGGACGTCCTGAGACACTCTGGAGCAAGGCATGGATTGGAGGTGAGAGCAGATGCACTCTTTGACCTCCGTGCCGTTCTGGACACGCACAAGCTTAAGGCGCTACATGCACAGGAACACGAAATCCTGCAAGTGGTCGAGGAGAGCGACAAGAAGAGATTTGAAGTGGTCCAGCGGGAAGGGGCAAAGTGGATCAGAGCGGCACAGGGCCACTCCATGGAAGGCATAGACAACTCCACCTTCCAAGTGCGAGTGCCCGGACGCCTGCTGCCACAGGAGCTGTATCACGGCACATACGATGATGCCTACAGCCAGATAGTCCAAAGTGGACTGTTGGCGGGTGGTCCGAGCCGCAAGCGAAATGACATACACCTCACGGAGGGGCTGCCGACTGATCGTCCTATCTCAGGAATGAGAAATACATGCAACATTGCACTCGCGATCCTACCGAAGGAGGCTGCGGCGGAGGGGTGCACGTTCTACAAGAGCGGCAACCAGGTCTATCTCACAAAGGGTATCGGCACACAAAAGGTCCTCCCAGCTCGTTTCATCCACGCCGTGATTATCCTGAAGAGCGGAGAGAGAATCTTGTCAAGAACCGCAGATGGGCCACCGAGCCTCAGGGATGTGCACGCGGGCCTATTGAGGGCCAACGACGGCATGCGGGCTCCGCGCCGGAAAACCAAAGCAAGAGCTCTTTGCGCAGGGCGTGTCAGTAGGCATTCCTATAAGCTTGGATATATGATGCGCAGCCAAGCCACACTGCATACCCTACGCCCTAAACATGACTACTATGCATGTATGCTTTCCGCTGCCCAGGCCAACCGAGCAAAGATCAATGCCGGGAGCCTGATTCCACGGCACACTGCAACTGAGCCACGCTGCATCCCAGTGCACAGCGTTCATCTAAGCAAGTGGATGAGCCCGGCTAAGCTCTTATGCAAGGCCGCAATGCCTGAGACCACGACCAGTCTCCTCCTCTCGATGGTCGGGATCTCTGTCAGGGTCAGACGCAGTGCATGCCAGGAGAAATTGATGCATATACATAAAGCTAACATTCCTGAAGGACCGCAGGACATAACATGGATCAAGCAAATACAGTACCTGAGTCGCCGCCACTGCTGTATCATACAAACCATGATACCTTCTCCTGAGACTGCCCCTGTCAGCCAGAGACAATCCACTTACCCCTACCGGCCCCACCCGACACATGAATGGACCTTACTTATAAATATCTCGATCCAAACTGCAATGCCGTCACCAAGCTCGCAGAAAAGATCAGCACGACGACTCCCAAGCCGGCTCCGAGAGACAGGTGCGGAACCTACGGGACACCTACAAACCTTGCGTGAGGAAGCAGTAGAACGAGCCAGAAGTCGACAAGCACAACAACAGGACGGAGGAGACGAAAGTGACTGGTGGCATACCTGGAGTTGGTGGTCTCCACACTCTCAGGAATGGCAATGGCAGACCTCGGACGGTACCAGGGCAACAGATGGAGACGCACAGGGATGGGGGGTGAACGTCATGAATACGCAGGCCGCAACAAGACGAACACAGTCCATGGAGGGACTCCTCAACGAGCTGGCTACCGGCGTTGCGGCAAGTTCGAGAAGGAAAGAGGCCAAGCGGTCCACACCCACGCCAACGACGAGTGAGACCTCCAGGCTGGATCTACGGGAGACGACGCACCAGGAGGCTGAGCACCCAAGCTCTTCTTTCCAGACTGGAAGTGACAGTGCCTCCTCCAATGCTCCTGTTGGGGGGGTGCACTGCCCTGCCTCCGGTAAGGTTAGTGGTCTCCACACCTCACCTGCGAGCACTTCAACATGCGGGTTGACACTCACTACCATCCAGAAGATCGAAGAACCTCCACTTGATCATGATTCTCCGGATACAGGGCCGATGAAGGCTCCAGCTGCCTCGAGCCGATGTTCCGATGAGCAGGAGACCAGACAACGGTCATCTGCTGCTAGGAGATCCAGCACCAGAGAGCCACGGCCCGAGGAAAGAACACGATCGTCTGCAGCCCGGAGGGCCAGTACCATTGAGCCACGGCCCCATCTACTCCTGGTACAAGCGCCACTAGAGGTGAGAGAAGTCAAGCACCGTCTACTTAGGGAAGCGAAATCGGCAGTGCTCAGGCTGATTCCGCATGGAGACGACCTTCATACTTTCCTCAACGGCTACTTCAGGCGGCACCATGCAACGTACCACGCCAACCCGGTGAACATGCCCTCGTGTGGGAACTGGATATGGTCGCTTACTGCAGCATTGATGACAAGGCCGGAATACCACCCCAACGTCTGGAGGCGTAGCCACGCGGGAAAACTGGGCGACGCGGTAGAGGGATATCTGTACACGTTAAACCAGAGCCAGACGGCGGGGAACCTTGCCCTGCTGGCCACCTATGGGGAGGCTGCAAAGTACCTCCACGACCTGATGCAAGGAATCCCGCACGCCATCTACTACCGCCTGAGCTGGAGGCAGTCACTTGACTCGCTCGCGGAGCTTCTCGAACCATGGATAGGAGCAGCGTCTACACAGGACATGCGGTCCTCGCACCCCGTCTTGACACTGGCGATACTCGACCGCAACGAATCCACAGCCGTGACAGTTGAGGCGGAAAACACAGGGCTGGACAAGCAGCAGACAATGAACAGGAGGGAGGAGAGACATGGACCTCATGGAAAAGATGGGAGTGGAGAAACACTCCCCATCGACCACATAGAGGGGGCAAGCCCTTCTAACTCTGGTGAAGCTGGTGGTCTCCACACTTCACCCGTGGTCGGCCTGGTACCTGAGCCAATGCTCACAACCCTCAAAAAGCAGGCGGAGCCTCCACTTACTCTTGATCTCCTCGTTGCACCGCAGACACAGATGCCAGCTGCTTCGAGCCAGGGCCTTGGCGAGCAAGAGGCCAATCCGCGATCGACTGCAGCTAGGAGGTCCAATACCAATGAACCACGACCAGAGGCAAGACAACGATCGTCTGCTGCACGGAGGGCTAGTACAGTGGAACCACGGCCCCATCTACTCCTAGCACAAGCACCAGAGGAGGTACGACACGCTAAGCAGCGCCTACTTCAGGAAGCGAAATCTGCAGTGGTCAAGCTCATTCCGCATGGAGACGATCTCCACAACTTCCTCCACGGCTACTTCAGGCAGCATCATGCGACGTATCACACCAGCCCGATGAACATGCCCGCCTGCGGAAACTGGATTTGGTCGCTCACAGCGGCTTTGATGACAAGGCCGGAGAGCCACCCCAATGTCTGGACACGCAGGCAGGCGGGCAAGCTGGGTGACGCGGTTGAGGGCTATCTCTACACGTTGTACCAGAAACAGACGGTGGAGAGTCTTGCCCTGCTGGCCATCTACGGGGAGGCAGCGAGGCACCTCCACGACCTAATGCAAGGAATCCCACATGCTATTTACTACCGCCTAAGCTGGCGGCAGTCGCTCGACACGCTCGAAGAGCTCCTCGAGCCGTGGATAGGAGTGTCAGATGCACAGGACAAGCGGTCTCCGCGTCCTGCAGTGCCACTGTCAATTCTCGACAGCAAAAAAGGGCCATGCAATCAGCTTGCGACACAAACTGCTGCCTGTACACATGTCACATCAAATGCGCGCAGTTGTCTTGGTAGACGAGGTCGCAAATGGCGACTACGACCGACCGTCAGACGCAGACACCTACGAGGCAGGAGGCGCCGAAACTGCACTTCTTATCCATTACAAAAACTATTCAGGCTTGCCACAAAGGCGCAACACATTAGGAACCTCCTACAGCAACACACTAATAAGATCAGCAGCCTGAGTACAAGGCAATCGACGTCAGCAAAAAAGCCTAAACCAAGACGAAAAATACCTGAGAAGACGAGCACAACTACACCTGGACTGAGCTTGCCCGGTCCCAAGTCCGGGCTCTACGCACTCATTTGGATGACACACCGCATCACACGCGTAGGGGGGGTGAGGGTTCCCGTCTCCCACGGGGCGGGGGGACCCACAACAACTGATCGCCACTTTCGCGCATCCCTGGTGGGGAAGCAAGTGGCTGGCGAAACAACGGCGCCGGTGTTCGGGGCCGCAGGTGTCACCACTCAGGTGGGACGAAAAAGAAGCTTTCAGAGAGCACAACACCAGAGTACACAGAATCCACTTGGCTACACTCGATATCGAGGGAGGTTTATGCATTGCAGTCAGTTGGGTCTCCACACTGCAACCATGCCCAGCCTAACGACGGCCAAACCACGCCGACCTCCTTGCAGACCACGAGGTGGGGCACAGCAACGTCTCAAGGTCCTGTCCATCAATGTTAACAGCCTAAGCGGGTTCCTCTGGGGTGAAGTCAAGGCGTTTCTTGGTGGAGAGGGCCTGCAGTATGACTTCATATTCCTACAGGAAACGCATCGCACTGCCTTTTGCGCATTCAAGGTTGATAACTGGATGGCAGTTGGCTCCTCAACAAAACGGGGAGAGGGTGTGCTCACACTGGTTCATCCTCGTTACGATGCCTCCATGGTTCGTTACCAGGAGATAATCCCAGGCAGAGTTCTAAGAGTGAAGGTATGCCACAAAGAGGCAGCCATCGAAACACTTAACATATACCAACATGTTTGGATACACACGGATGATCCGGAACAAAACAAACAGAGGCGGCAAACCCTGCTCGATAAGTGCACTGCCACAATACAGGGCATGGCTAGAAGAGACACCCTGATTCTAGCGGGAGATTTTAACTCAGAGGTACACGCAGTAAACGGATTGATCGGGACACGCGTGAACCGCTCGGCCTATCACCAAGCCCTTGACCCACTCACACTTCCAAGATTCATACAAGACAACGCCCTGGTTGCTCTAAACACTTGGCATATGAAGGACCCATGCACCAACCACACCCGTACGGGCAACTCTCAGATTGACTATATCCTTGTGCGCGCACCAAGTGCTGACACCAGAGCGAAGCAAGTAGTCAAACAAGAGGCACCCTTTGGGGCGTGGAAAGAGCTCACACACTCGGCCCTCATTGCTGATGTCCGAATCATCAAGCACTTCCACTTGCCCAAGGCCAAAATGCAACAGGAACTACAATACTCGAGACATGACCTTGACTACGCGTATCGCCAGAAGGATCACCGAATCACACAATTAAAGAGTAAAGTGGAGTTGGAGATAAATCACAGCTTGAACCACGGCCTCCCACTGACTGCAGATCACATCAATCACACATTACTGCGTGAGGTCTCTGACCTCTTCCCAACAGCTACATCAGCACACACCAATCGAGGCCAAACCAAAGCACAGTGCAAGGCCATCTTTGCTGCGTGGAAAGAGCTGTTGACCCACCCTGACGAAGTAGGTGGCTCGACCATCACACTGCCTGCCCGCGTCTACCACATGTGGCAGAGACGTAGGGATCTTCAGCGATGCAAGCCATTCACCCTGTCAGGAGTGCTTCGCACATGGCAATGGGTGCTCCTCTTCAACAAGGCAGGACGGCAGAGCAAGCAATATCATCTCCAGCATCAACGGGCCATAGCACTGGGGCACTTACAGCAAGCTGAAAGGGCCGCTCAGACGCATAACACGAAGCGTCTCTATGGTGCAGTCAAGCGACTCCTGCCCTGGAAGCCCAAGCCCAGGATCATGCTTAAGCACCCGGATGGATCGCCCATGTCTCTGCACCAGGAACACCAAGCACTTGTCCAACACTGCAAACAACTCTTCGCACCCCCGGCGGCATCTCCCACTCGACCAGGCCAGATGCTTAGCATGCCTTTGACTGCCTGTGAATGGACGACACAGCTCAAATGTACTCCTATAGGCAAGGCCGTGCCTGCGGACTCCGCTCCGGCCACAGCGTGGAAGGCCTGCGCGACAATTGTGGCGCCAGCCATGGCCTGCATAGCCAAAGGACTTCAGCCGGTAACCTCTGCACTACCTGATGCATGGAAGAACCCTCAGTTGTGTTTCCTTCCCAAACCACATAAGCCTCCATCCACCGCAGCTGCTCTCAGACCTATAGGCCTACTCAGACCGGATGGCAAGGCGTTTGCAGGCCACATCAAAAATCAGCTACTGATGCAGGCCTGCGCCAGCCTTACTCACACTCCACAGTATGCATACCTTCCGGCACGGGACACGTCGGATGCGCTGGCAAGGGTCAACGCATGCATACATGACATCAAGGACGGTCTTAAGGCCTTGGGTGGGAATAGGTTCCTGACGAGACAGCGCAAAGAAACTGGACAGGTCAAAGGCGAATCAGGAGGGTGCCTCCTGTCAGTCGACCTCAGCCAAGCTTTTGATCGTGTCAACCGTGCAAAACTAGATAGAGCGTTGGCACTCCACCAGGTTGATGCTGACCTTAGATCTACCGTCACCGCCATCCACGAGCAGGCTGCTTACCAGGTCAGGGATAAATTTCACCGGACAGACATCTGCACGACGCAAGGAATTCGCCAGGGATGTCGACTAGCACCAGCCCTATGGGCCGTGCTGTCGTCTCAGTTACTCTGGGATCTTACTCCCGCTGGTCAAACGCCGCTGCAGCTTCCATTCACGTTGTTCGCCGATGACCATTTAGGCCATTGGCTTCTCAAAACGGTGGATGATGCCAAGCAAATGGAGGAGACGATAGTGGCACTTTTTCACATGTTGGAAACATACGGGCTCAAGGTTAATCCGGATAAATCCAGTTTGGTCATTCGGGTCCAGGGAGCGCAACTTGAAAAATTTGTCAAAAGCCGCACGGTTATAGTTCGCAACCAGGCGCATTGGAAACTACAAGATGGAGCACAAACACATCTCATACCGATGTGTGAATCCATCACTTACCTTGGCACCAAGCTCACACTGAAAGAGGGCACCGGCCATACACTTGACTTTAGGCTTGCTGAAGCTGAGGCGAAAGTTACGCAACTTCGCAAAAGCATCAGATCACGCAAGGGATTGTCCAGGCACTACAGAGTACGGGTTTGGCAGGCTTGCGTGGTAAACAGTGCGCTTTATGGTCTGCTGACTACTCCTTTCTCTGGCCAAATGATAACTAAGCTGAGGGCGTGGTTTCACCGCCAACTCAGAGCGGTCACAGGCATGCCAGCTCACCTCACAAAGGTGAGTAATCAGACGCTGAGAGAAACCTACAACCTGAAGGATCCTGTACACATGCTGACGGAACGCATTGCGCGCAAACTTGATGCTATGCAACAAGGACGAGGCGATCCTGCCACGTGCGAAACTAAGACCTTTGAGTATTGGCAAATGCTACACAAACAACTTGCCAGCCATGCTGTGGAACAACGCACTGTGACGCTGGTGGAACTCTCCAGCTCTAGCCAACATCCCTGCTCCATATGTGGCCTATACTACCCGACCCAAAAAGCCCTTAGGCAACACCAGGCGCTCAGACACGGACAGATTCAAGCCAACAAACTCAGTATTGACTACAAACCCGAACAACATTCTGTTGCGGGCATGCCACAATGCAAACACTGTCTTCTGAAGCTGTATGACTGGGGTGCATTAAAAGGGCACATCATGCAAAATGTATGCGGTTGGCACACCAAACAGCTCATGACTCGAACAACAATAGCCAGCAGGATACGAAGACTGTTAAAGAAACAGAGCCTGTTCCACACAAGGTCGACACCCCACATACCCCTGTTGACCCTAAAGAGCGGCAACACGAACCACGGAACACCACGACTGAGGAGAGCACGCTCCTGCAAAACGAAGCGACACTGGCATTGCTTCAAAGTCATGAGGGAATATGCACCCAAGCAGCATTACACAAAACCTACCTCAAACAGCACTGCGGTTTCTGTGGCCGCTGGATCGCTGATGCCGGCATGATTAAAACGCATATCCAGAGAGTGCATACGAATCTTGCACGGCATATCACCTCAGACATACACACTTCATGCCAGGCCTTCAAGCACCTCTTCAAAAGGGACCATACATGTGAGTGGTGTGACAGAATGGTGCACGGCTCAGATCGGCATTGCTCTCAATGCCCAGTTCTTTTTCAGCTGATACTTGCAAGGACCAGCAGACAGGCGGCCTCCGCTTCACCTGAGACCCAGCTCCCTGCAGTATGGCCTGTACCACACCCAGGGATGGACGTTGCGATTTACCTCAAATCACCTACTCAAGATGAGATGCAACTGCACATACAGCACATGTCCATGCTTGCCAAGACACGATGTCTCCTATGCGGTGAACAGGTGCAAGACATCCAACACTGGCGACGACACATGGCGCAGCGGCATGACTCTCAGAAACAGCTTGTCCAGAGTCTAGCTCAATCCGAAACACTGCTACAAGCACACGTTGCGCGACCTTGCTGCTGGTGCAATGTCCACTTCCCAAAGTCTGCTCGAGAACACAGACGAAAGTGCCTCCCTTTGCTGCAGCTCTGCCTGTACCATGACCTCCACGTCAGTGGAGACCACGCCGGAGCAACAGATGGCGGCAGTGTGGGGCCTCAGCTCACCACTGGCGACGACGCCTACACCACAGAGACAAGCGTCCGTCAGACACAGACTGCCGCAAGGGACGCCGCAAAAGTATCGAAAGGGCATGGGCAAGGGCGCAGGCAAGGCAGCTCCCAAGGCAAAACGGGATCGGGACCAGGAAGCAGAAGACGAGTTGATGATGGACCTGGAGTCGCTGGACGAGGAGACGGTGAGAACGGCCTTGAAAACCTTGGTCAAAACAGCACTCAGACACGAACACCAACTGACGATCTTGGAGGCAGACCGGAGCTACGTGT